TTTGGATCTTTCTCATTTATTCAATACAAGAATAGTATTTGCATATTTCCCAGTACAACAATTGTTATCAAATGGTAACGCATGCAGATCAAAATCGTCACAATCGTCTATACGATTAAAAGACGGTTAAATATTGTTAATTATAATTTGAAAATTTTTTTTAAATTTAAAAATACCTACCTAGTTTAGTTGTATTATCTGATTGTCTTGAGTTTTGCTGCAAATTAAAACAAAGATTATTGCAATAAAATTTGTAATAATACAATTTATTTGGGTATAATAAAATAAATTAAAAACCTTTTGTTACTTGTACTCGTTTAGAAAAAAAACGTGTATTAAGCGATGTCATTGCAAAAATAAAAAGTTTGGAATAAAAATGTTCAAATGATAAATTTAGTCGAAAATAAATACTTTTTTTTTATTAGAATTAAGCCTCGGCAACTATGGCCATTGGCAACAATGGGTTTAAATCTAAATTATTTACAAGTTATATAATTTACATCTTAAATACTATTGATAACGTTGGACTTAGTAATAAAGGTTATTAAAATAAATAATATATTATCCTTAGAYTTCACATTTTATAACTGAAAGAGAATACATTTTTAYTTCTTTATTTGTTATGTAAAAATGCTATGTATTATCTTTATTGGAATACTTTTTTTTCGAYCATTTTTAGGTTTTATACTTAGTAGCTTATTATTTTGTTTCGAAATTGGATTATGATTTAAAATAATTTATACATTTCACTCAGATTTGATGATGAATACAAAAATCAAATTCGTAACCAGACAAAGTATAAGCTATACTTGATKTATAATTAAGTAAGTAATGCAATGTTCAATTGACAATATTCAAAAATAATTATACAGTCACATTAATTATGATTAAATACTAAAATAATAATAATAAAGTATATATATAATACAATATATGTATTTCTGCACAGCGAATATAGCGTAAGACGCCTGATTTAAGGTTTGTTCATTTTGCTTATATTTTAAAAATGTGATTTTAAACGATTACTATTTTTAAACGTCTGTCAATTTGCAGGTCAATGTAGTTTCTTGCTTTCTTGTATTCCGTTACAGAAGCCAATGTATGACTTAAACTCAATGGTATATGTTCGACATTCCTGTAGGTGACAGTCTCATTAAACACTAGTAAAGGGTTTGTAAAAATAGAGTCGTGGGGAACTTTTCTATCAAGTTACTCTCGACGTAGTTCATGTCATTGGTTGAAATGACATACGTACAAAAGACTACATTAAATATAAATAATATTTGTTTGTGTGGTATCAGTTTCACCAACTAATTATAAATTTACTTTGGTGTTGTAAATATTAATTTATTTTCACCGAGAAGTATTATACACGAAACTTTAACGGTGTTCTTTATAAAACTTTTATACACAAAACAAATAGGTATTTTCAATAAAGCATCTAAAACTAATATTATTCATATTTTTTGATCTACCTCGTAAATTCAGATTTCTTCATTTTTTTTTTTATATGATTAGTTTACATAACGCCGTCAAAGTAAAGTTAGTATAAGCTGAAGTCAGGATAAAATAATTCAAAATTATTCAAAAAAAAGTCTATTTGAGTGGCCATTAAATTGATTGTGTGTTTGAAATTATAAATATTTCATTAATTTACCGTAGCAAAAAGAGTAGTTRTATAGTTATATATTTGCTACCTTGACATTAACACTTGATTATGCAGGGGTGATTGTACATGTTAAAGTACAGTAGATGGTGATTACCATATATTAAAAATATTAATACATCGATAGTAAAAATATAAAAAATGTATTAGGTAATATTTATTTACCCGTTTGTTGACGTTGTGGTTGTGTTCGTTTCTTTGCAACTAGGATCATTTAATAATTTCCCGCCAGCTGGAATAACATGCCAAACCGGAAGCATTTGTGCCTGAGTACAATATAAGTGCACTTAATACTCAATTTTTCTCGATTTCCCTATACGTACCAAGTCGCTGTCGGGTTCAGTGGTTCTACGAATCGCGTGGTGTTTCTGCTCGAATGAATCCAATTTGTTTTTCCATTCGTTTGTGCG